AAAGTTACGGAGTGATTTTTGGACATTTTGCAATTTGTTCAGCGAAGCTAAGTTTAGCTTGCAATGACTATTTGGTTAAAGTAAACTACGGTGGACAATATCATGTCCTTTCAGATTTGAGGCTACTTTACAACTCCACGATTTATTTTTATGACGAATATCGATTTAATGACGATAGTTTTGAAGTGTGTGTTTCTAAAAATTCAAGAATTCAGGCTGTTTAGAGATCTCGAAATTCGTGAGAAAAGTATAAAAACCTGTATAAATGCCAAGATGATGATAATATTTATCAGTTATGTTGTAAATAAACAGTTCACAATCTTTTCAAAATTGAACGGTCAATATTTCTCGAGAAATGACTATGGGGTAACAGACGGTGAACCACACGTGTGTAAAGAAAAATTAGAGCCAGAATTAGAAACATACTCTGAGGATGTTATTTTAACATGCAACGAATCAATCTTCAGTATAAAATACGATGATGAATACAAAGTGTGGAATAACTTTTCAATACTCTATAAGAACAAGATGTATGATTATACTGAGTATCGAGTTCTGAATGATACTATAAAGATTTGTAACTCCACTGATGACTACGTACGGAATATGTGGAAAATACGCAATGCCTTAGTAAAGAAAAAAGTGCATCGTGGAAATTGTGGGAAAATTAGCCTTATTAGTGGACAACATAATTATTTCGTGACCACGCAGTTTCATGTCTTCTGGGAGAAAGCTGATCAATACTTCACTAGAAATGACTATGGGGTGAGAAACGGTGCATTAGTTTTATGCTCAGAGTCGTTTACTAATAGCAGAATAGGAGTAAGAGGGTATACCAAGAAAGATCTATTAACATGCAACGATTCAAGCATCAATATAAAATACGATGATGACTACAAAGTTTGGAATAACTTTTCAATACCCTATAAGAACAAGGTGTATGATTATACTGAGTATCGAATTCTGAACGATACAATAAAGATTTGTAACTCCACTGATAACTACGTAAGAATGATTTGGAAAATGCGTAATTCTTGTGTAAAAAATATAATTCATTTTAAGGCTTGTCGAAATCCTGACTTTACTTGGTCATACGTATATGCTGTAAGCAAGCAGTTCCATGTCTACTAGGCAACAACTGGTCAATATTTCTCAAGAAATGCCTATGGGAAATCTCATGTTTGCAAAGAAAAGTTACGTGTATCCACAAAGTATACCAAGGAAGATGTATTAACATGCAACGATTCAAGAATCAATACTAAATACGATTATGAATGCAAAGTCTGGAATAACTTTTCAATACTCTACAAGAACAAGGTTTATGATTACAATAAGTATCGATCTCGGAATGATGGCATAAAAATTTGTAACTCCACTCATAAATTCGTATGCATGAGATTGTTGGACTTTAGGTAATTATTTCGCAACAAGGATAAGAGGTTTTCGTTGTGATGTAAATATAATCTGAGATATTTATGTTGTGACCAAGGATTTACATGTCTACTGGGCGCCAGCTACACATTTTTTCTCCAGAAATAAATATTGGGTGTTTGGGGTTAACCTTTTCGTATGCCGGAAGAACTTACGCTCATTATCAACGGATTACACCAAGGAAGATCTATTAACATGCAACGATTCAATTATCAATTTAAAATGCGATGATGAATACAGAGTTTGGAATAACTTCTCAGTACTCTATAAGAACAAGGTGTATGATTATACTGGGTATCGAGTTTTGAACGTCAGCATAAAGATTTGTAACTCCACTGATGACTACGTACGGAATATTTGGAAAACGCGCAATTATTGGGTGAAAAAGTTCATATATTTTGAAAGATATCGATGTAATAGAACTTTTATTAAAGAGGTACGCAAGCGTGGAAATTTTCCTTTACTGAAGGAGGTGAAGTTACAGGAAACAACAGCAAAGTATATAATTGACAATACAAGTTTTGTCGACTTTCCAAGGCACTATATTCCCTGTTTTGGTTGTTTTCACAGCCGTTCAATGTTACGATGAGTTCTTCGATGAGAGTTGCAAGAAAGTACAGTTACGGCGTGTTGGAAGGTAAATTTATTGTATGTTCTGATAAACACGTGAGACTCGATATATCAGACATCAGATTCTCTTTCGTAGCACCGATTTGTGCTTTAGCTCTCTCGATGATTTGTTTATTAATGATAGCTGTTGATCGTTTATGACATGCTTCCAGAGCTGCGCACTCTTCCTGGTTGGAATTTGACGAGTTTATATCCTTTTTAATCGCATTGGCTAATTATGTAGTATATTTGTCGCGGTATCTGCGTGTAGGTAGAGTTGGACTTTCCATGTGCCAGACTAGAAATAACAAGTAGATTCATTACATATAGCACACTCATGAATGCTGCAGTAAATATGTATCATCTAAGAAAGACCTTTTGTAGCAATACAGTATGTGCAACGAGATCTGATGTAAAAAAGTTGAAAACTTTCTTGAAGTGCAGACTCTTTAGTTGGGGTGTTCCCGTCTCTATAACTCTTCTCAACATTGTTCTTGAAGATTAAAGTGTTAAGATTTTATAAGCATATATCTCAAGGATTGGTTTATTGTGCCAATGGTCATAATAATCCTAATTGGTTGATTGCCGGAAAAAAATATTGTTTTCGTGGCTGTGTTTTTTTCTACATCGTTGCATTTGGTTGCAAAGTTCATTTTTACCGCCCATCGAATTCGCCAATCGCTCAAAGAAAGCAACAGCATTGTACAAAAATGGAATATTGTTAAGAATCGGAGAAGCTTTGTTTCATTATTAAAGCTGTCAACCACTACAGCGATTACTTGCACCCCTCTCATATTTGAAGGCTTAGTTTTCAAGTCTGACGTAATGATAGCTTTACTGCATAACCATAGCGTGGCTTACGGGTGTTTATGTTGGAATCGCGTTTGTTTTTACACTAAAAAATTACCACCTTCTAAGAAAGAAACATTTTACCAAGTAAACTATATACCAATGAAATTGGTTTTGTTTTGTTCTATTAAGAAATTATAATCCATTATTTCATACAGTAAAATTTCATTACCCAATGTAGACGTTCCAAAATTATAACTATACCAACCCAGAGCCCAGAGGTAAGTTTAGAGATCTGACCATGTTCCGAAGTCGAACAGTCGGGGTTTGATGAAATAAAACTCGTAAACAAAAACATAAACTCGTAAGCAGTTTCCATTTTTCTTCATCGCGCGCTATGGTACGGTGTCATACAATTATACAGTATATCCGTACAATTATAGCAAGTGTATATGCACGTTTATATTGACTGTAGCAGGCACAATAAAATGAATCAATAAAGTCATGGCCAAAAAAATTGATGGGTCCCTTTATTATGAAATAAGTTTCATGTCGAGGTTCGATAGGGTTTCTTTTGAATGAATGTGCTGTGCAGGGGCGGATCTAGGATTTCTCGTAGCTAAAATCAAAAAAAAAAACGGGGGCAGGAAAGTTGAGAAAATGACCTAAGAAAGTTCTAAGAAAATCTGTCCTAAATGAAATACACACAAACTTCTTTACAGGTTTGAGACTAACTACATGCTGGTTCATTATGTGATGTAAATTAATTACAGTCTCTCATGCTTTAAAACATTAACAAATACAACCAAATATAAAATTACAGAAACCATTAAAATTACAAATAAGACAACTAATTAGTCTAATAATACAATTATTAATATACAAGGAAATGTTTCTCGACCCTGATTGGTTGATTTCAGTACAGTGCAAACATATGGGAAATTATATCTGATTTGTTGAAAAAGATGAAATCAGTAAATCAATTATTGCTCCATGTTTAATAATAGCAATGGACAGACGAACTGTTAAAATTTGAATTTTGAATAGTTTTCATTACTTGCATAAATTGTTTAAGCTAATTAAATTCGAAATAAAATGTTCAAGGGCATATAATGGATGAGGTCAGTAATTTATTGTCTCGAAGATTTCCTTGCATATCATTAATACCTAATAGTATAATTTCTCGTGTAATTACGGATAAATATGCACTCGTGAGTATTTAAAGACTGCAAATACCACTCGTTCTTCGGACTCGCGCTATTTTGTAGCCTTATTTTAAAAACTCACTCGTGCTTGTTAATCCGTAATTGCGCTTGAAATTATACTATTGCCTATACAAATAAATGTAAGTCATTATTTAATTGCTGGTTTATGTTCAATAATTGCATATACTAGAAGGGCTACTTCTAAAAAGTTCGCTTCAATAATTCATATTAAGTTTCTTGTCTTTTTCTTTTGATTGACCAACTGTTAATTTGAATCTTAAAATTACAATAATCCAGAACCTGCACTACATAAACTATAAGAGTAATAATATTGAAATTTTACCTGGTGCTTTATAATATTGCGTTCCCAAGCGATTAAGATGCTACAAGTCTGTGTAATACTTGCATGCATTTGTAAATCTATGTAATACGTGACTATAATGCTACAAGTTTGTTTACATAGCTTTCTTGCCTTTAAAATAGGGACGCTGAAGTTGTTATTTTGACAGCAATTCGAGAAAAGCAAAGTAATTTGTTTAAGAAATTTTTGAATTATTTGAATTCTTACCTAAGTTTAGAGATTGATTCGATTTGATTGTATTGCAATAAATCACCATTTGATAACAAATTCTTTACAATAATTCTTAAATTTGGTTTCCACACTTATTCTGACTTTTCAATGTCTGATGAATAATTATCGATGCAAACGCTTGTTAATAGTACATGTTTGTGGACTTTCACGTCCAAGGGAGGTTTGAAGGAGTCGGTGCTTATCAATAAGTCTCAGAAATGTTTGCGAACTTTAGTTTTAAGATTTTCCTTCATTTGATGATATTGTTTAAAGTTCTGTATATCTGGGATTGATCGCTGCTTGATATGTAAATTAATACCTGCAGGACCCCACTGAAAAACACTATAAGGTGATGTGGGTATCCTGGTTAAATATAATAATAATAATAATAATCACTGCAGTTTAGAGCCTCTCTATAAACATGGGCGGTTGATTCCAACGCGCGAAGGTTTGCGGGCAGCGAATGCATAGGTTGTGGCAACTGACCAATTCATGGAATATCCATAAGGTGTAATGATTGATTCTGGACCTCTTCTTTGAACATGCGGGCTTCAAAATGTCTTTCTCTCTCTTCTCACCCTTTTTTTCGGTTGTTTACTTTGCATGATTCCTGAACCAACAAACGTGTTACCGAGTTTGCATACTAGCGTGGTAGTAGAGTCAAAGTGGGTATCACGAGCACAATTTTTTGGAGCAAAACTTCCCAACAGCGGCGATGCCAAACGTCAGAACCATTGCTCGTTTTCATCCAAGGAATTTTCCACTCAGAAAAGCTTTTTGTAATCGTGGTCTAATTCTGTAAGATTTTATCTTCATCATCCGTTATGGGTTGTAATTGTCTCAGCCCATTATATTACTTTTTAAAGAGGTTTTTGATGTATGACCTTTTTTGAGAGTTTGAGGCTTTGACGGTATGTGAGTTCATCCATCGGTGATGCTATAACTACGTTGATGAAATCGTTATTAATACCACCTGAAATAACATCGTTTTCCTTGCCGAGTTCTGTTTCTATACTTGGTTGAATAAAACTGGAATCTTGGACTTCACTATAACGTGTGAGTTTATTGGCGCCACTATGTTGATTCCATCGCTAATAGCAAGTTTATTTGTTACACAAAGGAATTCTTCGTTAATATTATCTGTTACGTCATCGTCCAAGATTTTGTAAAGTTTTTGTTACATTTGCATGTAGAGATTTGCTGTATTTTTTTGCCGTTCGCACAAACTTTAGTTGATTCATCTCGATTATTAAATAGAAGCCCATAAACATTGTTCTTCGTCCTTAGTTTTTATCGCAAAAATGCTATGAAATGGGAAATTATAAGGCTTGCACAAGCCTACAAGCAGGTTTGAAAGTGCAGCAATCTCGGTACAGAGGAAAAACAACCAATTGTATATCAATGAAAGTTGAAAAATCTCGTAATGTGCCTTTCTCGAAGAGTTGTCACGAAAAAAAATTTAGCGCATGCAATGCTGTGCGAAGATGTTTTAGGTCACACTTGTTATTTTGCGTTAATCGTGATTTTTTTCCTTTCCCGAGTTGAGTACGAATTTAATTTTAACTTAGACTGTCAATACGAAATGTGTAAAAGCGCAGCTGACTGCAATATACATTTTTCATTTGTAAAAACCCTAAAAGGTTCGAAATCATTTAGAGGTGACCTAAAGCTTTCGCACAAGTATTCGTCCACTGCGGAAACGCTGTGAAAGAAAGAACGTTTTACATTTGATCGTAAATGATCTCGGTTTTGTATAAATTGGGCTAAAATATAGAACGTATTATGTAAAAGCTCAAGTCTAAAAATGTTTCACTTGACGTAGCTTCACGTAAATATTCCAATAATTAATCAAAACCTTTGTTAATCTGCGTCTGAATTCTGTTAGTCTTCATTGACGAAAGAATCTCTCAGCGCTTCGTCAGCATAAGGTCTTTTATCAATCTTGTGATTAATCAGCCAGGACACGAACTTTCGAGCTTTACGATCACGAAGTTTTTTCAAGTTGACAGGGTTTTTTTTTAAAATGTTTATCTTTCGAACTAACGAAGAACCAAAAGGGTGTTCACTTTTACTTAAAACGTAGAAAGCAATCATACCCGCAACATAAACATCAGATTTCTTTTTGAACGGACCTTTTTCTTGTTTCTCTCCTGCCTCAATCACTTCTGGCGGTATCCATCCTTCAGTGCCTTTAGCATCTGTTGCAACTGCCGTTTCGTCGCCCTTTAGAATTCGGCTTATTCCAAAATCTGCCAATTTCATACTGCCTTCGATATCAACAAGGATGTTTGATGGTTTGAGATCTCTGTGTAATATTCCTTTACCATGAAGAAATTCCAGTCCTGACAGAATTTCTTTGATCATTCTTGGACCTTGCTCTTGCAGTTGCTCAATAGTGTGAGAGTCTACAAGTTCAGTCAGGGTTTCCTCACAAAGATCAACAATTAGATGTATGAAATTCCCGTCGTTATGAAAATGACGATAGCTCACAATAAATGGAGAATTTTCTGTTTTTAGAAGACTCATAATTTCCTTTTCGTTTTCAGCTACTTTATCACACTTTTGCGACATCATTCTCTTGACAGCAACTTCACTTCCATCCTTCATGAGACCAACAAAAACACACGAGTAACCACCATCACCAATTCTGAATTGCCTGTCGGCGACAAAAGCCTGTATCGGAATTTCAGTCTATGGAAGAAAAAAGAAATGGCATAGAAATTCCATTAATGAGTTAAAAATAAGACGTAATGTACGGGTGCCCCGATACAAAAAGGACTCCAGTTTGATTAAAAATTAAATAGCTTCTTGATCAAGTAAAGCTATTGAAATAAAACACCTTTCATTAGTTTCAGGAAAGACTAACTTAGATTTTGATATATTATGGTAGTTTTTTAGAAAAAAATTCATGGAGATATTATAACAAAATGCGTACAGTGTTTCGAGATGTCTCAAAAATATAAAAAATACGCTGTATAAAAATACTAGAAATACATTCATTCAACAACCCCTCGCTATTTCAAACCAGTTAGCTACACAATTTCCTCAGCTAAACTGACCAGATTGAAGCACATTAATTAGCATGATATTCACACAGCATTGTGACGGACACTTTTTTAAATAACTTAAACGCTATTTTAATATGATAGAAGTTTATATGATGGCCGTAGTAAAGCACACAAATTATTTCTAGCTTTTTTACTCACATGCCAGACATTAAAGCTTGCTGCGCTAAACTTGCTGTTTCAAACTTAAAACAGGTATTTCAATTACGTAATGATGGCGAATCTCCCAATGATCTTAGGAATCTTGAAACTGATTTAATATTACCATGCACAACCAAAGAAATAATTATTTTGAATAAGGTTTAGATACAATGGAGCCATCCATTGGAATAACCTGCCACTGATGTAAAAAGCGCTGATTCTGTTAATTTATTTAAACAGCGAGATGTAGCTGATCTTTCCTCGATGATACCAATTCGTTTTTTTATGTGTTTATCGTTTTTCTATATATATATATATATATATATATATATATATATATATATATATATATATATATATATATATACACACCCATTTGCAAAAACGTTGGCCGCAGATAGATAGATAGATACTCGAAATCTAATTAGAATTGCATATGTTGTGTAATATTATAGAAATCCCATGCAAATGTAAGCATATGCAATTCTAATTAGAGTTCGAGTATCTATCAATCTATCTATCTGCGGCCAACGTTTTTGCAATATATATATATATATATATATAATATATATATATATATATATATATATATATACACACATCTATTAAGATAGGCTATATTAACTTTCATCGGGAATATCTTTATCTTCGTATATTTTTGGGTAAAATATAACTATAATATACCAAAATCTAAGCTAACTATCCTTCCATCTAATAAAATTTATTTCAGTTTAATAGCTTGTGTGATTAAAAAGTTACTAGAAATACATGCGTGCAAAATTCCCTCGCCTGAAGCAATAACCATATATTTCCATCACTGAAATTCTATAATACTTGTTTCTGCTGAATGATCGAAGTTGTATAAGTAAAATCCTATATCAAGTATAATTGTGCTAACAGTTTTAAATACTGTACTACAATTTTTAGCGAAATTTCAATTCCTTTTTAAAAAGATTCACATTTAAAAATAAATGCTTTCCCAATCAAAATAATTCAGTTCACGAAATTGACGAATAAATTCAAAGAGGTGTCGTAAGTTTGTTGATAAATCCACAAGTTAAATGTACAAAATGCTTGCATGCTTTAAAATACAAAATCTATTCATTTTATACCTGTTCTATCCGAAAACATCTTTACTTTATATTTTAATCAATTTTACGAGTGAATTTTTCGTACATTTTCGAAACCATCGAGATGAAAAATATTTTTAAAAAGTTTTATAAATTATAATTCAAAATATCAGGTATGTTGACGTGAGCCAAAATTTTAATTTAGCCAATCGCACGCTTGCAAACGTTTGCTAGTTGCCAGTTTTGACACGTTATAAACTCACGCATGCGCATAACTTACAAAATTCCCAACGTCCATGCCATAATGGCGGACAACTTTGATTTCGCATTTGCTTTCCCGGGCGTAATGAAAATCCCCGGGGGGAACTAGTACCCTCGCCCGGTGCTTCGCACCGGCTCGGGGATTATCAATCAAACAGAAGTTCTTTTTTTCGGAAACCCGCCATATATCCTTTGTTTTATACGGTATAATTTTAGTCTACTAATTACAGAAGGCTATCTAAAATACGGGGAGAAATTAAAACAGACATTTAAGGTCCTGTTGCACGGTGCAATTTTTCTTGGAACTCGCAATGCATTCTACTTCTAAGAGATGTAAATTAGTAAAGAGTATTGCAGAAAAAAGTGCATGAAGTGTAATAAACACAAAAGTTTCGTTGCTCCCAAATATACATCTCACAAACGTAGAATTGCATTGACAGTTGCAAGAAAAATCGCACTGTGTTACAGAGCCTTTAGGCCGCATATATTCAATTTAACATTTGTGCAGTATGAGGATATGTAGTTTCAATTCATATCAGGAAGTAATAATCAAATGTTTTTAAAATTGAAATAAGCGATCGAAATAAAACGTGCTCGATTGGTGGCAAAAAGGACAAAATTGAAATTTGGTAGGAGCTTCATGGCGCATACACCAATGAAATTATCTGTTTAATTCCCAGTGTTGAAAGAATGTGATTTTCGACCGGCAATTTTTGACAAGCATCTCCATTCCAGCGATTTATGTTTGTCAGGATGATTTTTTGAGCATGCGTACCATAGCTAGTACTGCGTTTTCATCAGTCGTATGCGAATGCGTAATGCTTCATATTCGCACTCGTGAAAGAATTGTCATCAGGATAGCAACGATATAATATTGTATACGTTTATCATAATACAAACAAGATCAAGTTTTTTGACAAGCAATATTAATTGCCCTTACCATCCTGAAGACTACACAAGAGATGACTGGGAAAAGATAAAGACACAACGTGTATTCACTCGCTCCATTTCACTCAAAATTTGTAATTCTAGTCTTCAGCTCTTTCTTGGCATGAGAAAATCAAATTAAATTGGACTTATTATTTTCAATATTATTATAATATAAGTATGATATAACGAGCAATTTGATTAGCTACCGCGCGTGCATTGTGAGGCCATAATGCACGCTTCTGGCTTTGAAGTTTTTGTTGCTAAGCATCTTAAATAACAAGTTTCATTATTGATCAAATAAATAAATTTTGTTGTTGCCCCATAATTTCTTCTTATATTATAAAAGAATTAAAAAAGCTCGTCGCGTGCCTTTATGGTGTGATAATGCACTCAGGGAAATGTTGGAAGAATACTCGAGAAGCTTGTAAAACACTCGGCTACGCTTCGTGTTTTACAAGCTTCTCTCGTATTCTCCCAACATTCCCCCATCGTGCATTATTACACCATAAAGGCACGCGACTCGTTTTTTAATTCTTAAATATTGCATTACGATGTGTTAAAACGGTGCTTTCTTTCTTTGAGACACGCTTTGGAACCCGTAATGAGTGACAGTCTATATTTGTCGTTAATTTATACTAAGACACAATTCACTGAGAAGTGACCGATTTTTTGAGGGCTCGTTTTTTTCGCCTTTGTTCAACCTACGTTTTTCCTTTTCCGCAAATTTGGTGACAGGTTTTTACAGAAAAGACTGGGTAGCTCCAGAGTGTTCAAAACTAATATTTAGTTTCCTCATGAATAAATTTGTTAATGATCAGTGTTACTAACAAATGATGTAAAAAAACCTCATATATGTTTAAAATATATTTCAAATATTACCTTTTCTAATTGGTTGCAATTCGTTGTACCAAGCACCCGAATTTTCTCACGATGTTTTACGGACCTTTTAAGAATAGTTGCAATTTCGTCATGACCAAGGTGAATACTCATTTCAAGAAGACTCAAATTTCTTCCATCAACGAGAAATGTCCCACCTCTCCATAAGTTGACGTTCTTTTTTAACAGAAGACTGACCAAATTAACCGAATTTTTCACAATTGCTATCTTCAAAATATCAATGCCAAGAGTATAATTGTGGACTTCAGCGCCCTTTTCAACAAGATATTTTACTATCTCAAGCTTACCCTTTTTAACAGCATGGTGCAGCACAGTCCTCCCGTAAGTATCATTGCCATTTACATCAGCGCCCTTTTCAACAAGATATTTCACTATTTCAACGTTAGATTTAGCAACAGTAGAGTGGAGCACAGTCCACCCTTCAGTATTGCTACCATTTACTTCAGCCCCCTTTTCAACAAGATATTTTACTATTACAAGAGCACCTTTAGTAACAGCATAGTGGAGCACAGTCCACCCGCTTGTTATTTTGCCATTTACATCAGCGCCATTTTCAACAAGATATTTTACTATCTCAAGCGTACCCTCTGTAACAGCAGAGTGCAACACAGTCCACCCGTCAGTATCGTTGCCATTTACATCAGCGCCCTTTTCAACAAGATATTTTACTATTTCAAGAGCACCTTCAATGACAGCAGAGTGCAGCACAGTCCACCCATCGGTATAGCTGCTTTTCACATCAGCGCCCTTTTCAACAAGATATTTTAGTGTCTCAAGTGTACCCTCTTTAACAGCAACGTGCAGCAAAATACTTCCGTCAGTATCCTTGCCATTTACATCACCACCATGCATGTTCAACAAGATATTTTACTATTTCAAGTTTACCTTTAGAAACAGCAGAGTGCAGCACAGTCCACCCGTTTGTTTTTTTGCCATTTACATCAGCGCCCTTTTCAACAAGATATTTTACTATCTCAAGCGTACCCTCTGTAACAGCAGAGTGCAGCACAGTCCACTCATTTGTTTTGCTGCCATTTAAATCAGCGCCCTTTTCAACAAGATATTTTACTATCTCAAGCGTACCCTCTGTAACAGCAAAGTGCAGAACAGTCCACCCCTCAGTATCCTTGTTATTTACATCAGCGCCCTTTTCAACAAGATATTTTACTATTTCAAGCATACCTTCAGCAACAGCGGAGTGCAGCACAGTCCGTCCGTTTTTTTTTTTGCCATTTAAATCAGCGCCCTTTTCAACAAGATATTTTAATATCTCATGCTTACCCTCTGTAACAGCAGTGTGCAGCACAGTCCTCCCGTCAGTGGCCTTAGCATTTACATCAGCGCCCTTTACAACAAGATATTTTACTATTTCAAGTGTATCTTCAGCAACAGCAGAGTGCAACACAGTCCACCCGTCAATATCCTTGCCATTTACCTTAGCGCCCTTTTCAACAAGATATTTTACTATCTCAAGCGTACCACATTTAACAGCAATGTGCAGCACAGTACTCCCGTCAGTATCCTTGCCATTTACATCACCACCATGTTCAACAAGATATTTTACTATATCAAGCTCACCATTATTAACAGCAAAGCGCAGCACACTCCATACGTTCCTATACATGTCATTCACATAAGCGCCTTTTGCAACAAGATATTTTACTAGCTCAAGCGTACCCTCAATAACAGCAGAGTGCAGCACCGTCCACCCGTTTGTTCTTTTGCCATTTAAATCAGCGCCTTTTTCAACAAGATATTTTACTATCTCAAGCCTACCCTCTCTAACAACAGAGTGCAGCACAGTCCACCCGTCAGTATCGTTGCCATTTACATCAGCGCCCTTTTCAACAAGATATTTTACTATCTCAAGCGTACCTTCTGTAACAGCAGAGTGCAGCACAGTCCATCCGTCAGTATCCTTGCCATTTACATCAGTGCCCTTTTTAATAAGATATTTTACTATCTCAAGCGTACCCTGTGTAACAGCAGAGTGCAGCACAGTCCACCCATTTGTTTTCTTGCCATTTACATCAGCGCCCTTTTCAACAAGATATTTTACTATCTCAAGCCTACCCTGTGTAACAACAGAGTGCAGCACAGTCCACCCGTTTGTTTTTTTTCCATTTAAATCAGCGCCCTTTTCAACAAGATATTTTACTATTTCAAGCGTACCTTCTGTAACAGCAAAGTGCAACACAGTCCACCCGTCAGTATCCTTGCCATTTACATCAGCTCCCTTTTCAACAAGATATTTTACTATATCAAGCGTACCCTCTGTAACAGCAGAGTGCAGCAAAGTCCGCCCATTTGTTTTCCTGCCATTTACATCAGCGCCCTTTTCAACAAGATATTTTACTATCTCAAGCCTACCCTGTGTAACAACAGAGTGCAGCACAGTCCACCCGTTTGTTTTTTTTCCATTTAAATCAGCGCCCTTTTCAACAAGATTTTTTACTATTTCAAGCGTACCTTCTGTAACAGCAAAGTGCAACACAGTCCACCCGTCAGTATCCTTGCCATTTACATCAGCTCCCTTTTCAACAAGATATTTTACTATATCAAGCGTACCCTCTGTAACAGCAGAGTGCAGCACAGTCCACCCATTTATTTTCCTGCCATTTACATCAGCGCCCTTTTCAACAAGATATTTTACTATTTCAAGCGTACCCTCTGTAACAGCAGAGTGCAGCACAGTCCTCCCGTAAGTATCATTGCCATTTACATCAGCTCCCTTTTCAACAAGATATTTTACTATATCAAGCGTACCCTCTGTAACAGCAGGGTGCAGCACAGTCCACCCATTTATTTTCCTGCCATTTACATCAGCGCCCTTTTCAACAAGATATTTTACTATTTCAAGCGTACCCTCTGTAACAGCAGAGTGCAGCACAGTCCTCCCGTAAGTATCATTGCCATTTACATCAGCGCCCTTTTCAACAAGATATTTCACTATTTCAACGTTAGATTTAGCAACAGTAGAGTGGAGCACAGTCCACCCTTCAGTATTGCTACCATTTACTTCAGCCCCCTTTTCAACAAGATATTTTACTATTACAAGAGCACCTTTGGTAACAGCATAGTGGAGCACAGTCCACCCGCTTGTTATTTTGCCATTTACATCAGCGCCATTTTCAACAAGATACTTTACTATCTCAAGCGTACCCACTGTAACAGCAGAGTGCAACACAGTCCACCCGTCAGTATCGTTGCCATTTACATCAGCGCCCTTTTCAACAAGATAATTTACTATCTCAAGCGTACCTTCTGTAACGGCACAGTGCAGCACAGTCAACCCGTCAGTATCCTTGCCATTTACATCAGCGCCCTTGTCAACAAGATATTTTACTATCTCAAGCCTACCCTCTGTAACAACAGAGTGCAGCACAGTCCACCCGTTTGTTTTTTTTCCATTTACATCAGCGCCATTTTCAACAAGATATTTTACTATCTCAAGCGTACCTTCTGTAACAGCAGAGTGCAACACAGTCCACCCGTCAGTATCGTTGCCATTTACATCAGTGCCCTTTTCAACAAGATATTTTACTATTTCAAGCGTACCCTTTTTAACAACATAGTGCAGCACAGTCCACCCATTTGTTTTCTTGCCATTTAAATCAACGCCCTTTTCAACAAGATATTTTACTATTTCAAGCGTACCTTCTGTAACAGCAGAGTGCAACACAGTCCACCCGTCAGTATTCTCGCCATTTACATCAGCCCCCTTTTCAACAAGATATTTTACTATTTCAAGAGTACCTTCAGTAACAGCAGAGTGCAGCACAGTCCACCCATCGGTATAGCTGCCATTTACGTCAGCGCCCTTTTCAACAAGATATTTTACTATTCCAAGCGTACATTCAGTAACAGCAGAGTGCAGCACAGTGCAGCAGTCGGTATCCTTACTTTTTACATCAGTAGCTGTTCGTTCAAATTCCTGTCTTGGTTCAACCCGAAATTGCATTTTTGTTTCTTCTTCACCTACGCTCATCCTTCCTCTCGACTTTTGCTTTTTATATGTGCCTATACAGGATATATAGAAAAATCGCGTCATGCGAAAAATTTCAATTTCTGAAGGAAATTTTGGAATACCTCCTGCATTATTTGATTGACAAGTTTCAAAGAATGCAGAACAGGCCTTGAAGGGTCATAAAACCCAGCCACTACTTTCCATGCGGCCGATTAGGCGCATGCTCAGTGACTGTCCCAAACGAGGCTTATTTTGTGTACATGTGAGAATAAAATTAAAGTCTACTTGCAAGCCGTACGTGCGATTTCGCGTACTATGTGAAAGTGGAGGCCGGCCTTGACGAGTAAATCTTATGAAATAAATGAAGCGATATATTGAATGAATTAGGGATGAAGGCGAAAAAGACAATTCTCATGTACAAAGAAATAAATAATTGCGTAAATCAAGCTGCATAACCAGTTTCATAATCAGAAGGAGCAGCATTAATTTTCAAATTCCGAAGCCTAAAAGTATTTTGAATGAGAGAATAAGTTATTCATATAACATGAAAGAGAGCATAAGTTATTCCGGAGCAAAAACCGCGACCAGCCGATTCAATATTTGAATCAAACAAGACACAGATTGAAACTGTAAGTTTTCGACTTTATTCTAAAACTATCGTTGATTCGGTCTGATGGCTTTGAAATAAGATCGAAAAATTACGGTTGCAACTTGTGTCTTGTTTGATTCAAATATTGATTCTCGAGATGTCTAGTCTATTCGGAATTTTTTTTACTTTATACTGGAGCAATGCTGTGGAATATAATTTGCCAAATGTTGTGAAACTGAATGACTAACTATTGGTCGCGTCAGTTAAAAAATGTTCTCAATAGCACTAGTTATTTTCGAATACAATTAACGTTATTTTTTCCATGATTTTAAGTCCGTTTTCCAATGGGCGAATATGTTTGGAAGGTTATGCAACGTGATTGGTTCTGTAAATATTTTCTAATTTTTCTCAATTTTTTTCGCTCAACATTCACGATGTCAAATTTCGCGCGTCGCGAGAAGTAATTGGAATTTCTTTAAGAATTATTTCTTTTGTCTCAAAACACTTCCAACAATAGTGGTATTCTATTTTACTAGTATTTTAGGGACCTCAGCACCACCCTTCCTTTCTTGGCGCTCCTACAAGAAAAACATATCAATTCCAAAGCTTAGAATATACTAGTTAACCAAAACATGCAAACGATTTAAAGATTAAATACAAACGCTTTGTTAATGATTTTGAATTAACTGCTATATTCTACGCGTATCTTGTTGTGATAAGACCTTCATTAAACCTTTTGGTTCACCTGCAAGTCCACAAACAATTTAGAAGACAGCCATATTTTGATTATACTTAAATTTAATGTTGACCGGAGAACAGAGGCAGAAACATAGGAATTTTAATACCTAACCAGGAACGTAGCGAAAAATGCAACTTTGGATCGAACCTACTCCTCTGCGATTCCGCATGCATAATAGAGATGTCCAAAGCAGAATTGAACAATTGACTAAAGCAGTTTTACACGGCCGCCAGGCAGAAAGACGGCTAATAAAGTGAATAGTTATGACACAGATCTGCACGTCTCGTGAGCTATCAGCACATGTACGACTCGAGTTTGCAGAATAACTGGCAATTATATACATGTCGCTTACAATACGTTTTAAAGTTTTTTAATATATTTTACTATTTCCAGCGTACTTTTTGTAACAGCAGAGTGTAGTACTGTCCAACCGTCCGTCGTCTTGTCATTTACATCAGCGCCTTTCTCCACAAGATATTTTACTATTTCCAGAGTACTTTTGGCAACAGCAGAGTGCAGCACAGACTGCCCATAAGTATCTTTGGAATTCACATCAGCACCATGTTCAACAAGATATTTTACTATTTCGAGCGAACCTTGAGTAACTGTTCGTTCAAATTGCTTTCCTAGTTCGTCCCAATGCACACTCATACTTCCACTTTGCTGTTGCTTTTTATCCGAGCCTATACAGGATTTATAAAAAAGCTTAGATAGATAGATAAAATTACCTTGCAACCCTAACGCTGAATTGCGTAATATTTACAAAATTTAAAATTACCTATACAACATTTTTAACTTTAGTGTAACTATTTAAATATAATTACGTTTTAGCTGCCATCTTAAATATAAAAGAATTCTTGGTACGATCAGTATAAATGTGTCATGGGTATTAAATTTACGTTCATTTCTAAGGTCAAGATAGGATTGATAAACGATGCGAGCAAATTATGAAGTTTATGCTCCGGATCTTTGACTATATTCTTGAACAACTTCTCGCATAAAAAGTTATGATATTCTTCCATTGGTCTTCACACAAGTTTCACAAGCTGAACCATAATCCACTCCTGGCTTTACAATTGTCATCGCCCTTTTTTCCAAAGGTACAAGGTCAATCTTTAAATATTTCGGTTGATCCAACACACGATGTAAAATAATATCAAATCTGCAGTTAGTACCTCAGCCCTCCATAACTGAACCAAAGAGTATAATCTCTTATTGGCCTTCTTGATGACTCCTTCGATATGAGCATTCGATGTAAATTTGTTACTTAGTGTAACCCCAAGTAATTTGACATTCTCAACAGTTTTGATTTCTTTTCTATTAACATTTAATGGTTCTAGTGTTACCGGGTTTTGCGAGAATGTAATTCCAAGTTTCTTACATTTATCAGGATGAAGTTGAAATCTATTTTCCTCTGACCACTGCGCCACACCATCCATTATACTCTGGACATCACTAACACCACCCTTTGGGAGGACCTCTGATGCTGTAGTATCATCTACAAATTTCCATAGGTATGGTGAATTAATATCAAGGTCGTTGATCATTAAAACAAATAACCAGGGGCCCAGCTTTGTACCCTGTGGAACGCCAGAAGGAACAGAACCCCATTCAGAATAACAGCGTTCGGGCAATTTCACTCTCTGCGTTCTATTAGACAGAAAGTCAATTATCGAGTTGATTATGCTCCGATGTAGATCCAAACTACTCACTTTCCTGACAAGGATGCCATGAGCAATTAAATCAAACGCTTTTCGGTAATTGAATACAATTGTTCTTACGGTCGCACCATTCTCATCAGTTTCTAAATACCAATGATGTAACATGCTTATTAACGTCATGGCGGTCTACTTTAGTTGGAATTGCACTGTACTGACCCTGATCTATCACGTTTAAAACGGCTGGTTTTACATAATCTTTTACGATGAACTCCTCTGCTACTTTAGACACACGTGAGGGACATTGGTCTTTTTCAATGATTATTACTGATTTCTTCTTTGGTATTATGGAGATACATCTGCCATCTTCCAGTTATAGGTATCAGTTGTTCACTGTAAGGTGAATTAAGAATTTCCGTGATGGGAAAAGCAACAATAAATGAATATTCCTTCAAGAGCCAGTTAGGCATTTGGTTAGGTGAATCCTCTAATGGCAGGCATTCAAGGGGAGTGGAAGATTTGTGTGGTTGCTTTAACGAACTGTTATTCTTGGAATTCTTTTTTCATATGTATTTTGGGTATATTTCAAGAAGTGCTTCTAATTTGTACTCGACTTTGGCAAACGTTAATCGTTAGTAGATTTCCTATAAATCTGAGATGAAAATGGGTTCCTGTGGATTTTATTGTTTATATTATGCGCGTCTACAGGACCTATAAGCTGGGAGAACTATCTTCATTATCACCGAATTTTCAAACTGCGCCATAGCTCATCATAACAGCAACAAGATCCCATTTTGCCAAGCGTAAAAGTAACGCTGATTTTATGAATGTCAGTGTTTTTATTTCTGTAACTATAAGTTTACTGTATAATGCCTCGATGCGTCCGTTATAGCTCATTGACCGAAATAGTTGGCGATGTATTCTTTTTTTTCCAGTGTACCTTCAGCAACAGCAGAGTGCAGAACAGTCTACTTGTTGGCCATTTTGCCATGTATATCAGCGCCCTTTTAATCAAAATATCTTACTTTTTCAAGCTTACCTTCAGTAACAGCAGAGTGCAGCACAGTCCATCCATTGGCGTTCTTGCCATTTACATCAGCGCCTTTCTCCACCAGATATTTTACTTTCTCAAGCCTACCTACTGTAACAGCAGAGTGCAGCACTGTCCACCCGTCATAATCCTTGTTATTTACATCAGCGCCGTTATCAACAATATATTTTACTCTATCCAAAGTACTTTTAGTAACAGCAGAGTATAGCACAGTTCTCCCGTGTGCATCCTTGAAAGTTAAATCAGCGCCTTCTTGAACAAGATATTTTACTACTTCGAGCGAACCTTGAGTTCGCTCAAATTGCTCTTTTAGTTCAAACAAAAGTTGTAGTTTTCTTTCTTCTCCACGCACACTCAAACTCACACTTTGCTCTTGCTTTTTATCAGTTCCTATATAAAGAAGTTCTCACAAGTTAAAGTCAGCGCAAGTATGAAGACAGTGCAATTATTATGCAACTTGCATGGCAAGGCATTGCACCGCAGGGAGGTAGAAATATGTCGAGGATTTGGGGTTTCCGCTCACGAGGTGTCACATGCATTGTTCCTGCGGGACGACCACTCTAAGAAAAATGGCCATTTGAGAAAACAGGTACATGTGTTTCTTCAACATATACTTGTTACACGTTAGAACTTTAAAATATTTTCTTTTATATTATTGGGGGCACTGACTTCTTTTTGCAACGCTAGATGCAATTTGCCGCAACAAGTCAAGTCTCAGGAAAAAGTGCGCCGTGTATGTAAAGCCCGTTTTCCATCAGGTGAATTTGTTCGCGAGAAGTAGCTACAAATTCTATAACGTGATTGGCTAGTATAAATGCCTTTTAGACCGACTTTTTCAACGACAAATCACGATGCCAAATTTCATCGCGAGAAAAGTTTCGAGCGCAGAGCTTAGTCGGCTCATGCGGTCGTGACAAGCTTGAAAAACAAAGGCGAAGCACAAGTGGATGATTGAAGCACAATGGAAAATCGCCATAAAGGTCCACATACACTGAGGGCGATTCACCAAGGCGAATTTATAGTTAAAATTAAATAAATTTAATTCTGGAAGGAAATTTTAAGGGTTATGTGCCCGAGACATGTCAAAACGTGTTATCCTTCAATAATTATCAAGAATATTATAGTAAATTATGATCAAATTTAATTGCTTTTGAAGACTGGAAAATTCGTTTAAATCGCGGGTAATAATGCTATTCTACTACCATTACCACTGTGCACTACAGTCTGTTTTATCCGTATACGAATCTTTAGGTGGTAGAACAAAATGATGCGGCTGAAGTAGTTTTGGTCGAAACGTAGGTGGTCAAACAATGCCCTATGATTTGTTTCGCATGACGTAATTGGCGTGAAACATTCTTTTGTGATTACATGTGAAAACTACTTTTGTTTAACAAACAAGCCCTATCTTTTTCTTCTAAGCATAAATAACTTATTTTTTATCCTCCCGTACGAAACTGCGCGTTTTACAATTGACAATATGTTGTTTTTCAATTGCCAAATATATTTCGAAAGTTCAGTGTCATTTGGGTACTTTTTGTGTCTAAAAGATTTAATATGATTCCTATATCGCTCTTTAAATGTGTTTGCCGTCATGACGATTTACAGTGTTTTGTATTGTTTGCATTGCCAGTGGTGACAGTTTCCTTGTGTACTATGTTCTTGGTCATGCACTGGTTTCTTAGGGGGTTCTTAGTGGTCCAGTTGCAATTGTCTGTGGTTATGGTGTGTGATTGATTGTTCCTAATTACACCTGCATTGTGTTTGGTAACTACGGACTACACGTTGCCCATACAAATGTAGCTTACCTTAACTGTGTTCCTATTGAAGATCTTATGCAGCTTGTGTCAAGCTAGGTGGAGAGTGTTTGTTTAGAAGGTTTAGGAAGCTGCAGCCAACATTGGTTCTGGCACTTTTACTGAAAGGAGGTTTGATTACCTGATTCAGCAAAGCAACAATAACACAATTTCGATTCGATTATTCACTAAAAATATCCCTATACCATCTCAGGATGCTTGTTTGAGACGTTTGATCGAAGAAGTAAAACGCATGCGACGAGAAGACCCATTTCGTAGCTAAAAGGTGTAAAAGACTCAACCAAAAAACCTTTAAATTCGGGCTTCCTTCCAGCAAATCACCTCCAACTGTTTAGAAATTAACCTTTCGAACTTGAAAGAAGTAATAAAACTTGCCGAAAATACATGAAACCTCGCTCTACACATACAATAAACTCATGCATGAAAACATCACCAAGCAAGACATAAACACGAATCAGAAGACAGCATTCATTTGATTGATAATGAATTAAAATTCAAAACGCATTTCGAATAAATTAGCAGTAGGCGACCGCATCGAAATATTAAAAAATGCGAAGGATTAATTTCTTTTAAAGACCATAACTGAAGATTGCCCAACGTCCTATCAAAACATCCTCCAATGTGTGCGCTTAGTCAATCAAACGCCATTTCTCTTTAAATTAGCCCTTAAATAAGCTTTTGAACACTTTTCCCTCACACCTTTGTTTCGCCTTCGCGTCTCCCCGCATATTTTAAGGAAATGTAATTTATGTTTGAAAGAAAAGCTTTGTAATTAAAAAAATCAGAATTAGTTTCCGCATAAAATCACAAGAGTTAATGTTTCAGGCCAATTACGTCAAACGAGAAAGATCTTGGGAATGCATTCATTGTTTGAACGCCCACCCAACCACGTTTCGACTAAAACTACTTAAAGGCCAGCCTCGACTTGCACGTACTTGCTTTGCTAAATACATTGAAAAAAGCGTGCTGAAAATTACGAGTTTTACGTAGAACATTTTTAATTTAGCGAACTTTCTGCACACTTTAAGATAGACGCAAAGACAAAGTTTATCAGCAGATTGGCGTTTGCCTAAAACGTCAAGCTAAGTGTCTCTAGAAACGTAGAAACGTCAAGTTAAGTGTTTCTAGAAATGATAAATTAACTGGTTTTAGCCAATAGAAACCGTCTATATGAACGATTGGGAACCGTGCTCTCGTTCAGTTAATGAGGCTACTCGTTCGCTCTTGTTCTAGGATGCAGTTAACTATATATATATATATATATATATACATATATTGATTTTGCCGAACGTGAACTGCCATTGCGATGTTTTCGATTTGATTATTGTGCTGTCGTTCTCAGCAGTTCATAACATTCCGTTCGGAAACAAACGGCAACCGATCGTATTTTTTTCCCTTGCGGTCGTCTCCGGTTTCTATCGGTCGATCGCAACCGAACCGAGCCGCAGTGTTATAGTTATTTCTGGACAGTCCTGTATATAATTAGGGGACAGACATTTTGGAACGCTTGATGCAATTTGCCGCAACGAGTCAAGTCGTACGAAAACGTTCGCGGTGGAAACCTGTTTTCCACTTGCTGAATTTGTTCTTCAACGTGATAAGCTGACGTAAATACTTTTGCCACGATTTTTTTTCGCTTCGCGTCATGCGAAAAAATTCGTGTAATGGAAAACTGGCCTAAACAGGTCCAGACCCCACGTCTATACACTTCCAAAAAAAGCGTTATTCTATTCCTTTAGTATTTTAGGACCTCAGCACCCCCTGCCACACTGGCGTTGCTACACGCGTTTAAAACATATCGGAACAATCAGAAAGAGACCACAACTATCAATACGACCACAACTACCATTAGAGAGGTTAAGATACCCCGATTACGCTGTCCCGTACAGGTAACCTTATTTTGTTCAACGAATTTCCATCAGTGTTTTCTAGTAGACTTTAGCCTCTTAAGGCAAGCATGTTTTGTTTCATGAAATGTGAAAACGACAAGAAAGTCTAACAACAAAATATGCCTACAGGAATATGCGCAGACATCGTTAACAGTACGCTTTTTTTTGTTGGGACCTTTTTAAAAGTAGGTACGAAGCACGTTCTTAATTTTAAAAAAATAAGAGTAAACCACAAAATATAACTAAACATGAAGCTACAAACAAGACAAGATAAATCATACGACCTACTACTGGGATAGAACCTTTTCGTCATCATATGTATAAATTCCAGTATTCTTACCATTATCACATTCTTCATTTTGTATGTTTTTTCCTTCCACTTCTTCTTCAATTTCTTTCTGTTTATAAACAGTATTCTTGGATTGTTTATTTTCCGACATATCTCTGTTTCCCAATCTTTCTGCTAAGCCTGGAGTTATGATGCTCTCGTCATGCTGGGGCATAATAACATCATCATCTTTCTTGGATTCAGCCATTGAGTAAAATGACTACGTTGTAAAACAATTTAAACTTGCTCCAAAATGCCACCAGCGCTCCCTTAAAAAGCAAAATATAATCTAGTTTTTGTGACCAATAATATAGTTTTCAATAACAAAAGTTTGAAACTTAATTCATTCAAACTTTATAATAGAATTCCTTGTTACGGGTGCTATGGCCCAGCAAGATCTCGCAGAGGGTTCGACATGTCCAAACCTTTTAGCAAAAACTTGCAATCTTAGACTAGTTAGATCAGTGTATTCAAATAGATGTTAAACTATGCTATGAAAGTTTACATTGAAACTGAAAATTTCATCAACTGCAACTGCTTGACTGCCCTGTGTTTATAAGCCATATTAAAGTGTCTCTTATAATATATTCATAATGCATTCATAGATTATGTTAATATTTAGTATAAAAGACACCACATTGTGTCACAGAGGAAATAATAGATACAGAGATCTAACTAGTGTACCCACTTTTTCACTGCGCATGCTCGGCAAGTGCCTGAGATGGAAAGTATAAACACTTGCCGAGCATGCGCAGTTGTCGAGCATTTTAGTTGCAATGCACTTGCCGAGCATGCGCAGTTGCTTACTTTTAGCTCACGCGCACAAAAAAGGTGGGTACATAAAAAAGTCACTTTTAATTACTGTGCGCAAGCTAGTTAGATCTCTGTATCTATTACTTACTCTGTGATTGTGTAATAGAAAACACTTGTATGCAATTCTTCGAACGAGACTTACTCTTAAATACGTAAGAATGACATGGTGTCAAGTATGACTAGTAATTAAAAAAGAAAAAAAAATGGCCATAAAATCGCTAGGAATAGCTGAACTTGACATCGAAAATGGCAGTTTAGCAGAAAATTGGAAGCGATGGAAGAAGACAATGGAGTTAACGCTTCAAGGACCATTAGCTGAGAAAGAAGAAAAGCAACAATGCCGTTATTTTCTGCTCTACATTGGTCAAAAAGGCAGAGATATCTACAATACTTGGGCGTTAAAGAGTGGCGATATAGATAAGATCGAAGCGTTATTTGAAAGGTTCGAAGCCTATTGTAATCCTAAGCAGAATGTCACGGTGCTACGTTACAAATTTAATACGAGAGATCAACGAAGTGACGAGAACATAGATCAATATGTAACAGAACTTAGGCGACTAGCGAATGACTGTTCGTATGGAGAACTATTAGAAGAAATGATTCGAGATCGGATTGTTTGCGGTACGAACAATCCGCAGATTAAAGAAATACTTTTACAGGCAGAAATGCTCGATTTATCGAAGGCTATAGACATTGCTAGGGGAATTGAAATAGCTACACACCAATTGAAAGACTTTTCTGAGGAAAGCGACAAGGCGGTGCACGAGATGTATAAAAGTGGGCGTAAGTCAAGTAAAGATAAAGGACAAGACGATCAAGAACAACAAAAGGGTACAAAACCGGAAACTAGAAAACCGTGTAGCTGCTGTGGTCGTAAACATGTGGGTAAGCAAACTTGCCCAGCAAAAGGTAAAGTTTGCTAGAAATGTAAAAAGTGTAATCACTACTCACGAATGTGTAGAAGTAGGACGGTGCATGAAGTTGAAATTCCCACTAACTCAAGTTATGAAGAGAGTGATTTTTTTATCGGGGTAGTTAATGAACCTAATGAGACAAACGATTAAATATCCGTAAACTTGCTGGTTGATGAAAGTGACTCGATTAAAGTAAAATTAGATACGGGAGCCCAAGTTAATGCTATGCCGATACAAGTTTACAATTCGCTAAAGACTAAGTCAAAAGTGTTGCAGCCAACTAAAGTAAATTTAACTGCGTATGGGGGAAACAGAATTCCAGTTCTTGGTCGATGCCAACTGAAATGCAAATATAAGAACCAAATGCATAACCTTGAATTTTACGTTGTTAATGCGACAGCTACCACTGCCTTGAGTTTAAAAACATGCCAAAGCCTATCATTAATTAAAGTTATAATGACGGTGAATAATCAAAGCGAAAACAGTAACGGTGATCAGTTAATTAAAGAGTTTAGTGATGTTTTTAGAGGACAAGGATGCTTATCGCATGAATATCACATTCAACTAAAGCCTGAGGTTAAACCCGTTGTGCATGCTGCAAGAAAAATACCCGTGAGCTTGAGAGATAAAGTCAAGCATGAATTAGAACGGATGAGAAAGTTAAATATTATACCACGCGTTGATGAGCCTACAGAATGGGTCAACTCTATGGTTGTTGTCCCAAAGCCCAATGGGGAAATAAGAATTTGCTTAGATCCGAGGGATTTGAATTCTGCAGTAAAACGCGAACACTATAAAATGCCCACACTAGATGAAACCACCAGTCAGTTGGCCGGTGCGAAATACTTTACTGTTTTAGATGCAACAGCTGGCTATTGGAACGTTCCGCTGTCCAAGGAATCCTCTATATTGACAACGTTTCAAACACCATTTGGTAGATTTTGTTATTTACGAATGCCATTTGGTATATGTTCCGCACAAGAAGTCTTTCAGAAGAGAATGGATCGCGTATTCGGAGAATTGCCAGGTGTCCACGTGATCGTTGATGACATACTTGTAGCTGGATCAACAAGAGAGGAACACGACAACAGGCTACGTGCGACGTTGACAGCCGCGAGACAGCATGGGGTAAAGTTTAATCCAAAGAAAATGCAGAAGTGTGCAAGTGAAATTAAATTCTTTGGTGAAATGATAACGAGAGATGGTCTGAAGCCCCATCCCTCCAAAGTGGCAGCAGTGAAAAATATGACGTCACCGCGAACCAAGAAAAAGTTGGAGAGTCAGCTATGTATGTTCACTTACTTGTCTCAGTATTCATCACATCTGTCGGAAAAAACTGCGATCCTAAGAGAGCTGGTCAAGAGAGATACCATGTGGAATTGGTGTCCTGAACACGAAGCCGCGTTTAATGAAATGAAGAATATTATAACGCAAGTTCCAGGTCCAGTTCTAAAGTTCTATGATCCCGGTAAACCGGTCACAGTACAAGTCCATGCTTCCCAGTCACGGCTAGGAGCTGTGCTTCTACAAGATGGGAAACCTGTGGCATATGCTTCGAAAGCCTTGACTCCAACCCAACAGGCATACGCTCAAATTGAAAAAGAAGCATTAGCGTTGGTTTTTGGATGTGAAAAATTTCATCATTACCTCTATGGTCGAGACTTCGATGCAGAAACAGATCACAAACCCTTAGAAATTATCATGACAAAACCCCTTCAAGCTACGCCATTGAGAGTTCAGAGGATGAGAATCCGTCTACAGAGATATAACGTACGTGACCGTTAAGTACAAGCCTGGAAAGGATATTCCTGTTGCGGACACACTATCGCGAAGTGGTGCCTGTAGTGAAGATCCATCAGAAGATCTAGATTTGGAATCTTACGTTGAAAGTATCGTGAAAGAAATGCCAGTATCTGAGGGCAAGATAAAAGAAATACGAGATGCTACGAAGCGTGATGAGGAGCTTCAACGATGTGTGAAACAAGGGTGACCCGAATTCTTAAAAGAAACGCCAATGGTGCAGTGCTATTGGAACTGCCTTTTCTGAGTGGATAACGATTGGAAACCTTGGTATGTGTTGATTTTAATGTTTTCTCACTCCTCAAAAGCTCAAGGCGCCATTTTTAACTACGAGTTGGAAAGTTAACGATGCCCTTGAGGATGATTAACTTTAACTACGATTAACGCTAACTACGTTTTTATACAACTGGCTTAACCACGTGATTAAAGTTAACGACGTTTTAACCACAAAAAAGTGATTAAAAAGTGATTAAGAATTTTATACAACCGGCCCAGGTATCAAAGTCCAAAAATTTTGAATTCTCTTCCTGAAGATATCAAAAATATAGAGTTTTACAATTGCTTCAGCAGTAGAATGTTAAAACATCTACTGCAGTCTTAATTCTACAAAAAATATTGATATCATTCGGGTTTGAAATTTCGGGAATTTAAAATGCCGGTCATAAAATTTCAAGCAGGGAGAAATCAATTCAGGGCTATCGGTAGTCCGTTGTCAAAATCATAAACTCCCTATTGAGGGCTATCTTTTAAAGGGGAGAATCGGGGAGTTGGAATAACTGAAATAACCGAAATCAGTGACCTGGCCGCCATCTTGGAATAACATTTTATCTTATTAGGTGTGATTTTGCATTTGATGACGCTACAATTAAGTCCGATTAACCATATAAAACTACTTTTAGATAACTATGTCATTTAGGTCATTAGATGTTTTGTTAAATGAAGTAAACTAAATTTTCATTGCCAATACTTTTAAAAACCAAGAAGTTTAATTTAGATTCAAATAATGAGCCCCATTCCCAACCCCCCCCCCCCGTATTAAATATAGCTCCCCATAGTATTGAGTGTAGTGTAAACAGGGCTTATATTGTTGATCCAGTAGTTGCCTCGATATATTGCCGGTTTTGATTTTCTTGATCGAACATTGGTCTCAAAACATCTTATCAAAGTTGCTGTTTGTCTTACGCGCTGCCTAACTGCATAGGAAATAAAGAAATTTAAAGAGTAGAATTTTGACTTTCAACAGATTTAAGAGAGCTCCCAAGCCTAAAATCATTCAAAGCTAACATAAGGAAAACTGAAAATCATTCAAAGCTAACATAAGGAAAACTAAATGTAGATTTAAGAGAGCTCCCAAGCCTAAAATCATTCAAAGCTAACATAAGGAAAACTAAATGTAGATTTAAGAGAGCTCCCAGGCCTAAAATCATTCAAAGCTAACATAAGGAAAACTGACCTGGCTAGTCAAATGCAGAACAATATAAACTGCTGTACTCTATGCAGTTCATAAATTATGAACAACTATTTTATCTAATTCTAGTAATTTTACAACTACATATGTGTGTAAATGTGTAGTATATTCATCCGCATTCTAGCTGTATATACAGTTCTATTTTAAAACTATAGTTTAGATAGTATCCCCGATTAGTTTACTTGTAGCTAAATACATAGACACTTGAGTAAAGTTATTATTATTATTATTATTATTTATAACAGCCTTTAACTTCCTGTTTCAGAAAATACACAACAATACAGTGTGTCTGGCAGGCATCAAGTGAGAAACTTTCGATGGAACAAATTTGGTATAAAACAAGAACATTTGGACAAATAAATTTTGTTAAAAAATGCTAAAATATCACATATTTTGACTAATGAACAACTCAATGTAACGCTAATAGTATGCGTGAAGTCCACGAGTAAACTAACAATCGGCAGAATATATTCAATGTAATGCTAAACAATGCACGGCAAATTACTACCGCATTTTCTCTCTGGAAATTAAAACTACTCATCTGATAATGATCTACTGTGGTATCAAGCCTGTGTGGAAATCAATCATACGCCGGATTGATTTGTGCTACGGCCAAACACAATTAATGCTTCGCAATAAATATGCTGCTCCATAAAACATATCATTTATAGTCGCATGAGAGTTCTCTCGCGCTGCAGCAGATTATTGTGATTAATTGGGGCTATTTATCAGCTTCATACCTTCAACTCTTCATGGCATATATCATCGTAAAGAGCCACGATACTGCGTCGCACATAAACAAATAAGTTCGATAAATTTGAGTAATCTTCTACAAACCTAATCACGAGACTCAGCGCCGGAAACGTGAATTCCCCCCCGTCGTCGTTGGAATTCCCCCAATCCCCCTGAGCCCGCGCCTCAAACATGTATGATGGTCAAACATCGTGGGAAAGCAGCATTTCTGGGAACGAGTCTGAAGGGAAGTGCCTTACTAGTGTTGGCAAATTTGTCTCACGACCGTGGACAACGTTTTGGAGCCCTCTTTACAGCCTTAGCTAGTCGCTTTGGTACGTCACATCACACGGAGATATCTAAAGTGAAGTTTAAGAATCGGTTCAGGCAGCGCTATCAAGAACTACCCGCTTTGGCTGAAGATATCGAGAGGCTTGCTCGCTCGGCTTATCCTGACGCACCTCCAACACAGCCTCGTTCCCAGGCGGCCATATTTAAATAAAGTAAATATAAGACCACTACAGGCTTTTACATAAGTGGCAAGCCTGTTCCTATATTTATTACTCCGCCTGCGTATGCGCAGCGGAGTCTTAAAATGCCATGGTCTTTTTTCCTTTTAGTAGTTTTGGGCGACAGAAGTTGGTATTTCTGCAGGTAACCCAAAACAACTTCATTTTTGACCGAGAAGCCCTGGGTTACATGGTCCACTGATGAATTATGTACATCAGTTGGCATGCAGGCGGAGTGAACGCCTTGAGCAGGCGTCTTGTTTTATTTAAAGCGCCTAGGAACGAGACAGCCACTAACACTTTTTGACACTTTAGCTCGTAATCAATTTGTCTACTCTTTACCGGATGATGACATGCGTCTACGTCACCGTTAAGAACGACCACCTAACTGGCACTTGAGTTAGCCCCGGTTTACACTATCAAATTTTCTGTGATCACAGTTGGAATTTTAAAACAACAATTCAAATCCTAAGTTTTAAAAGATTTGTTAAAAATACTGCAGGGAACTGTAACACTCATTTGTTAAGAGTAAGTTATTTCATCCTAATATTCAGTACAAAATGTTTAAAACTTTCAGTTTAAGAATGCAAAATTGCAACTGTGATCACAGAAACCGATTGACAGTGTAAACCGGGCCATAGTTTCATCTTGCTAATCAACAATTAGTCGCCGAAGGCGAGATGATTACAACTCTTAATTTTTTTCTTCCGGTCCGAATTCATATTTTAGCGTTTCCTGCAATCTGATTGGCTATATACATATATATTCACTGAGCCGAATGCGAAGTGAATATAGGCTTGTAATCACCGAGCCTTTCGCAACTAATTAGTATAGATTTAGAGGTGTTCTACCTTGTTCTGTACGAATGCAGCCTAACGAGAGCTGTGCATCTGGAAGTTCTACGATCTCCAGAGTTGTACGAGCTCTTACCATCTCTGAAACGGTTTAATGGTCGCCGCTGAAGGCTGAGAGTTATATATATTCGCATAATGATGCAACATTTAAGTCAGCAGAAAAATTGCTAAAGAGTGTTCAACGGGACGAACAATTGAACTACTTCCTTTCTGAACGTGTAATCGAATGGATATTCAATGTATAAGACATTGTATTATAAGACATGCGTTGCTCAAACGTGCGTTTTATGACCAGGTTTCTCAACATGAGATTTGTTCGCATTTGATCGCATATAAAGTGGAGTTACATGCTTCCTATTGCTCTTCAACCACTTATACTTGATGCAACACATTTATATTTCGAGTGGTTTAGATAACGGATAAACAGTAATATCGAAGAAAAACATTTTAATAAAAGCTTAACATATATATTCCACACATTACTGTTTAAGCTGGGTTAGAAGTTAATCTACAAAGAATTCTTTTAATCTAGAATTCAGTCTTGTTTTCTTGGTATGTTTCTGTTCTATAAGACGAGAAAAAAAAGAAGTATAGGGACAATAAAAATAGCTGCATAAGATATTCACTGATTTAATTCAAAAAACCTAAATCTGAATTTCATTCAAAACAATCTAATCCAGAATAAAATTCTATGTAATGTCAATCAGGGGGTGTACCTGGAATTAAATATTGGCGCGCTAAAATAGCAAATTTCAAATTTTGTACAAGCATGTTTGTAATACGTATCTACCTTATTTGTTGCAATGTGGGACTTCTGGTGCTCTAACGCAGTCTGATTGTTTGCCACATTCAGGTTCAGCGCAACAACTGTAGCCATTGGGACTGGACTGCACAGAAGAATAACTTCCGTCTTTCTCACATTGAGGGATATATCCGCCAATAAATCGACAATATTTGTTTCTTGTCAAGCCGACTGCTCGTTTAAATTGACAGTTAGAGAAATCTAATTTGAGGGAAAAGAGTAATAATTGATAGTAAATATAAGCTATCGATGAATAATTAAGACATCAAAATCAGCCAAACTTACTATAAAAGTTTACCTCCCTATTCATTTTAAGGGAGATTCAATATATTGCGAAGTTTATAACTATTTAAATATAATCATTACCTTTTAAAAAACCGATAATTTCGCCCTCTTCGATATCTATTTTTCATTTTCAAAACTATGATCAACTTATCATGTTATTGCGTGCTATTTATGTCCCATGTTTATTGGGGACTGATAATGAAATTTAATAAATTTGCTACGATAAGTTACCTAAATTTCTGAAAAATTCTGTGGTATTTCTTTAATTATGTGAATATATTAGGTCAATTTATTTTCAAGTTTCAAATCGGGAGGCACTGCCCCCCCCCCACCAGGCCCACCCTCAGCTACGGACCTTGCTTACAATCAAGTAACAAGAAGGAAATAAATCACCACAGCTAAAAAGAGCATACCAAAAATTAATTAGTATAATTGCCGAGTTTTGCATGTTTTTTTACCACAGGCAGAAGCGTGTAACTAAATTAGTGAAAGGGTAAAAAAAGTATACAAAATTGCCAACTTCATTGCCAACTAATTTTCCTTACTTTATTTTTACAATATTGCAGGCTGCTATTGGCCACGCGGTAGGTTAATCCGGCCGTGATTGCAGCCAAACTTGGCAATTTTACTAAGTTTAGTACGCACTTTTTGGAAATTGTCCCCTAAGTCAAAAGTTGGTCTATATTATGCAAAAGATCTATTATATCATGAAAATATGTGTACAAAGGCCACCCTGTTATGTAGAGGTTTGTTTAGGTTGAATATATATCATGGTGTGTCCATTCAAATTACCCTCTTGTGATCGCCCAATGAGTTCGTAAGAGCGAACTTGAGACAAGCCTTTGATGCCGCTTTAAATTAACCGTATTTTAAGTCATTTTGATGGGGAAAATAAACGTGATTCTTTCATTTTTCTTAATTTCCAAATTATATACTTCACATCCTAATTTCAATTAAGCTTTAGACGTAGTTTAGATAAAGTGACTTTTTTATTTCTTGTACATGGTACTTTAGCAAAGAAAGTCACTTTATCTAAACTAATAAAATACATTTTCCCTCTGTTCAGACAAAACCATAACTTTATACTGTGATAGCCTTAATATCTTTGGATAGAGAATGCTCTAGCTGATGCAGGAAGGAACGTATAAAAGCTGTGATTAAATACCTTTTACACACTGGGGTTTCTGTGGTGACTTAACACATCCTGATAGACTGCCAGTGGATGGGTCAGCACAGCAACAGTGACCAGAAGGCTTGCACTGTATCAGAGAATAACGTCCGTCTTTGTTACACTGAGGGACATACACGCCCATCATTCCACAACGTGTCTTTACCAAGTTCACTGCTCGTTCCTTTTCGCATTTAAAATACGCTGATTTTGATGATAAAATATAAAACATTTATAAAATTAATATTAATTACAATTATACAATATATCTTTAAGTTCTGTAAGTGCAATATAGTTTATAGAATACCCTGATTTTGGTTAACCAAACATAAAGCATTGATAGAATTAATGATAATTACAATTTAATACTTTCAGGAAGAAGAAAAATAAATGATGCAGAGAAGCCTGCAGAGTGAGAGACAAAAAAATTCTTTCACGCACCAAACATATATATAATACTCCTGGCGAGTAATGTCACCAGGGCTGTAACCTGGGGGTATTGGAGTGTGTTCAACCTCAACCCTCAATACTGGTAGCCTGGGGGTATATTGGAGTGTGGTCAACCTCAACCCTGAATACTTGTAGCCTTGGGGTAAATTGAAGTGTGGTCAACCTCAACCCTCAATACTGGTAGCCTGGGGTATATTGGAGTGTGATCAACCTCAACCCTCAATACTGGTAGCCTGGGGGTATATTGGAGTGTGGTCAACCTCAACCCTCAATACTGGTAGCCTGGGGGGTATTGGAGTGTGGTCAACCTCAACCCTCAATACTGGTAGCCTGGGGTATATTAGAGTGTGGTCAACCTCAACCCTCAAAATTTAGTGAAATTAACGTATTTGGAAAACATTCTGTTAAACCAACTGTGTTGCTACAGCATACAGTGAATCAATTACCGTCAAACACTCTCGCCATCCAATATTAATGAACCAGATCTAGTTATTGTAACATTGGAAAGTGCTGCAGACGAGAGAGATGACAACAACATTAACTAATATAAACTAATGACTCTTTAAATATATACCACCAATCAGACCCGAAACTAGAACGATAATCGGGGACCGTTTATATAATTTATATCATGATACCAAGAAATAATTCCTATAAACGGAGCTTTAATTTAGTATAGTTGAGTGTAGGCCGTTCAGTCTTTGATGCACTGGATCAGACTTCATGAGGGAAACAATAAAAATGAATTGTCGACGTACTTTTGCAAGTTTGTGACTTCATCACGGGAATGACCAGAAGAACAACAGCAAGAGAAAAGAGTATTTTGTTAAACATTGCTTCAACGTTGGTATTCTTCTTCCTGTTGAGCTGGAGATCAGGAGATGATAATATCTAAATTAAATTGAAACATAAATATTTGGATTAAATAATCTGTGGATGTATGAAATGGTCTACATGTGATAGACAAGTATCCCAAATCATAGTCAGTGTTGTAAAAACGAAGAAAAAGGAACTCATGGTAAGATAAACCACGCATAATCGATCATTCTTCGTGACATAACAAGCTTGCTTGCACCAACGGTTTTCCAGAGGATCTTTACGATATAAATTTGCGATTATATAATATATATAGTGTTCATCGCGCTTACCATTTATTGAATTTGAATATTCTGGTACATTAAAACCCTTCCAATTCAAAATTCTGGCAAATATGGGCTTGTATTTATACCTACTCAGTCAGTCAATTATCATGTGATTGTTTGTGGTATGATTTCTTCCCAAAAATATTTTAGACTCTTAATTTAGAGAGCCCTTGAACTTGTGCGCATGCATGATGCATGCATCACTTGCCATGCAGTAAAAGGGAAAAATCGAATGGCTTTTCTGTCAATATCCACTATGAATAATGAGTTATGAACAATGAAACTCTGGCTGCAGTGTATGACTATCATAAAGTTGGCAAACCGAATAAGATTAACGGTTTTCAAAGTTCCCTAGTGGATAACCAAAGTTAGTGTACCAGTAGTTATTCAGCATGCAGAAAAATGCTCTGGGGTATATATCGACAATTGTTATATAGGTGCTTTGTATTTTAAATGTGATTGGTTCATTGGGAATCACATGACTTTAAATACATGCAATGTTTCCCGCCAGGGAAACATGTGAGAAATTGTTGCCCGCTTCTTGTCATAACAAAGTAAAGTGCATGGGTTTCTTTATTAAATGAAATTGTTGTGTAACATGTATGTTTTCGTTCTTATATGAGAAAGCACTTAAGGTACCTACCTCGAAAAATAGTGAGTTATATAATACTGATTTTTCTCTGAGGATAGACCAATCAGTAAGGGCTGTTTATTTTAATCTGTTTAGTAGAGATTCAACTACGCGCTAAATGACTTTGGGGATTGAAATTAATATATGAACATGAACCTCACAGTGGTGTTGCCATCCCGATCACCGACAATAGCTCGTGGTTTGTTTTTGAGTCTCGGGTACCCAGGGGCGTGTAAACAGGCCCTAAAGTTGCATGGTGAAAGAAAAACTTCGTCATATTCCATGCTGATCATATAACCAGCTGTTTGACAGTAGCGAAGTTAGTAAATTTCGACTTCTAATCGAGTTTGGTTTCTTAATTGCGTTCGTGCGTGACTGCATCATCATCATAAATAATGAATTTTAACTAGAAATATCTACTTGAGAACAACTCAGCTTTTTTAACATGATATTTGTTCCGATATTAAGCTCGAGTTGGTTCCAATTGCCCTTCAACAACTTATGAATTGATACAGAACTTATTATGTACCAGCTATAATGATATCTAGAATCGAGTGGCTTAATAGTTTCCGGCGACCAAAACATGGCTGCCGTTTTAGGAGCGGAATAAATATCAAATCACTTAGTATCAAGATAATGACATGCATAGTGACAATTGTTGAACAAAATGGAGTTGTTAGTAGGAACAAGAACACTGCATTTTCTTTTTTTCTAACAAGCAGTGATGTTGACCTGGACAGCGCAGAGTAAGATTGTATGATTTAGGTATATTATGCATTCATTTAATATTAGACTAAATGTCATTAGAGATGTCATTTGCCTCAATGTCATGCATTCATGCCTCTCGAAAACTTCCGATACGTACAGAACAAAGTAAGTTGGTTTTTAGCACGAGAAAGAGACAGGCAAATAATTGCTTATGATTCAATTTTAGTGAAAGGGAAAACACCTTTTCAATTACAAATGAAAAATATTACAAATCCAATTCCCAATAAGAGTATCAATTCCGGTTCAGCAACTCACCTCGATATACAAAGCAACTTCTCGAAGTTTTTACTTAAGAGCTTTTGTCTACGAAGAATTAAAGAATGTAGCTAATAAAAGCTGTTGCTGTGGTGTTCCTGTTAGCGCAAACTACGGATATGAATATCGTCGTTAATATATACTATTTTATTTATACTTAATATACACATTTTATTTCATTTACCGTGCTTGCTATAGCACATAATAATTATGTACTGAAATCCCGGCTCAGTCTGCTGTTGATACGGAAAAGGGTTGATACCAAAAACGCCGTTATATCACATGATACTGGAGGAACCTTTTTGATTTAGAAATGGGGTTGAAAATATCAAAATAACTGTAGTTTAATTGTCAGAAGTTACATAAAGTGAGCGACAAATTAGTCTTGTCATTTAAATTTGGGAGTGAGGACGCATTCTCATAATCTCATTGAGGGAAAACTGTATAATCAACTCCGTCTTGTTGGATCCAAGGGAATTGTCTTATTCGATTAATACGTTTAAAATATATTCACAGACGACGGACCAATCAAGGGCTGTTTATTTTAACCTGCTTAGTAGAGATTCGACGACGCGCTAAATGACTTTGGGGTATCATCATCATAAAATTAATAATGAATTTTAACTAGAAATATCTACTTGGAAACAACTCAGCTTTCTTAACGTGATATTTGTTCCGATATTAAGTTCGAGTTGGTTGCCATTGCCCTTCAACCACTTATGAGTTGATGCAGAACTTATTATCACCTAGCTATATTGATATCTAAACTCGAGTGGCTTAATAGATTCCGGCGACCAAAAACTGGCCGCCGTACGTTTCAGCGGGAACATGTATAGCCGTTTTGTAGGAATAAGTATGCTGCATTTTCCTTTTTTCTAACAAGCAGTGATGTTGTCTGTTGACCTCCATGGACGACGCAGAGTAAGATTGTATGATCTATGTATATTATGCATTCATTTAATATTAGACTAATTGTCGTTAGAGATGTCATTTACCTCAATGTCATGCATCCATGCCTCTGGAAAACTTCCGACAGGTACAGAACAAAGTAAGTTGGTCTTTAGCACGAAAAAGAGACAGGCAAATAATTGGTTATGATTCAATTTTAGTGAAAGGGAAAACATCTTTTCAATTACAAATGCAAAGTATTACAAATCCAATTCCCAATGAGAGTATCAATTCCGGTTCAGCAACTCACCGCAATATACAAAGCAACTTCTCGACGTTCCTACTTAAGAGCTTTTGTCTACGAAGAATTAAAGAATGTAGGTAATAAAAGCTGTTGCTGTGGTGTTCCTGTCAGCGCAGACTATGGATATGAATATCGCTATTAAAATATATACTATTTTATTTATACTTAATATACATATTTTACTTCATTTACTGCATGTAGCTTGAATATAGGACATAATAATTAAGTACTGAAATCCCGGCTTAGTCTGCTGTTGATACGGAAAAGGGTTGATACCAAAATCGCCGTTATATCACATGATACTGGAGGAACCTTTTTGATTTAGAAATGGGGTTGAAAATATCAAACTAACTGTAGTTTAATTGTCAGAAGTTACATAAAGTGAGCGACAAATTACTCTTGTCACTTTAGTTTGGGAGTGAGGACGCATTCTCATAATCTCATTGAAAACTGTATAATCAACTCCATCTTGTTGGATCCAAGCAAGGGAATTGTCTTATTCGATTAATACGTTTAAAATATATTCACAGAGGACGGACCAATCAAGGGCTGTTTATTTTAACCTTTTTAGTATAGATTCGACGACGCGCTAAATGACTTTGGGGTATCATCATCATAGAATTAATCATGAATTTTAACTAGAAATATCTACTTGAAAACAACTCAGCTTTCTTAACATGATATTTGTTCCGATATTAAGTTCGAGTTGGTTGCCATTGCCCTTCAACCACTTATCAATTGATGCAGAACTTATTATCACCTAGCTATATTGATATCTAAACTCGAGTGGCTTAATAGATTTCGGCGACCAAACATTGGCCGCCGTTTTAGCGGGAACAAGTATAACCGTTTTGTAGGAACAAGTACACTGCATTTTCCTTTTTTCTAACAAGCAGTGATGTTGACCTGGACAACGCAGAGTAAGATTGTATGATTTATGTATATTATGCATTCATTTTATATAAGACTAAATGTCATTAGAGATGTCATTTGCCTCAATGTCATGCATCCATGCCTCTCGAAAACTTCCGATACGTACAGAACAAAGTTCGTTGCTTTTTAGCATGAGAAAGAGCTCTAGCAAAGCAAATAATTAGTTATGATTCAATTTTAGTGAAAGGAAAAACACCTTTTCAATTACAAATGCAAAGTATTACAAATTCAGTTCGGAATGAGAGTATCAATTCCGGTTCAGCAACTCACCGCAATATACAAAGCAACTTCTCGAAGTTCCTACTTAAGAGCTTTTGTCTACGAAGAACTAGAGAATGTAGCTAATGAAAGCTGTTGCTGTAGTGTTCCTGTCGGCGTAGACTATACGGATATGAATATCGCCGTTAATATATACTATTTTCAAACTTTATACATGAAAAAGATCCCTAAGCGCCATTATGTTTGCGTGTTCTCGCGTATTTGGCTTGCGTTAGATGGCGTCTCAAAAAATTTCGGACGCTAAATGCAAAGAGTATGGCTTCTGGTATAATGCCTATTCTCGGTAACAAAAGCGGGGTCTATTTTAGCTGATGGCGTAAGCAAACAACACGCGAGAATGACGAATCTTGTACTCGTAGACGTACACCTACGACGCACTTCTAAAGCACAATAATAAATACAGAACTGGAAATAGTGTACCGATATTTTAGTGCGCGTGCCTAGCAAATCCCTGAGATTGAAAGTATAAACACTTTTGCATTTATTCTTAAGTGCGTAAAATTCAATATAAATGTCGATACTGCATAGCTTTAATTAGCGAGTGTGAGTAGTTGGTCACTTTGAGCTCACGTGCACTAAAAAGATGGCATTCATGAATACAAAGAAACGCCATATTTAATCACTATGCGCCACCCAGCCACAGAATACCTAACAGAAGTAGAACTCCTGTACTTTTTTCGTAAGTGTGATTCGTCATGATTCGTCACTTAGCAAGTGCATTTTTTTTGAGGTAGTCACCCCCCTGCCAATGTCTAAAATCAGGCCATTTTTAGTATTGGCAGGGGGGTGACTGCCTCAAAAAAATGCACTTGCTAAGTGACGAATCATGACGAATCACACTTACGAAAAAATAGTATAGAGTTCTATTTCTGTTAGGTATTCTGTGACCCAGCGTTACCTATACAATCAGATGCAAAAATTAATGAGACAACCAAATGAATACCCCCTCCCCACAAAATTAATTTTGCGGGGATGTCAACATGGGAGGACTACCGGTCCAATCCGATCTATCTCGAGTGTGCATCACGCTATGCTAAAAGACTATTGGTTGATAAATGCTGCTAATGATGCTTGATTACGTCATTGAAGATCACAGGTTGGCTGAGAGGGAAAGTTACAACTTACAAAGATCTTTATTTAAATCTTTATTGTTTTAGATACTGTGTCGTCGACGCTGTATCGTCGCTCTTTACGATGTAGCTATGTACAATAAATAACTTTGTATAGTTAGTAATTTGCTCCACCGAGACAGAACTCAGAAACGACTAGAAATCTTGTATTGATCCAACAGTATTTTTACTGATGCATTATTATCGTGTATGGTCGAGTTTATAATTGCGGGGTTTTTTATTAAAAAAGCCAGAGTAGTACTTTCGCTTGCTCATTTCATGGGGGAATAGCCCAAATTTTTTTGCCGTAGCATCAACATTGTATCACGTTTTCATTCTATCTGTTGCTATGTTCAAACGGTTTCGAGCAAAGTGATGTGCAATGTTTATGCTGCACTCTAAAAAAGGTGTGTTCAAATAACACACTTTTTTTGTCCACAATATAACACAGGTTCTGGTGTGTTTTCCGAAACACACCTTAAGGTGTGTTTCTTGCTTGTCCAGAATTTGACACACCATAAGGTGTGTTTTGCAAAAGGTGTTTAGCTTATCCACGTGCGACAACTTGGAGGTTCTATTTCTATCAGGAGGTGGTCCCATTTATCAGGTCATACGGAATTCTCTTCCTATCATTAATTTTGTTGGTGCGAATCCTGTTGATTCATAGGTAGCTATATGATACGCCATGGGCAATAGAAGATTTGTGGTACATGCTGGTCCAATCCGGTTCTCTCGTTTCCATCAACAAAATTTGCCAGACGATATTCCGTCCACCATTCCGTCCGACTGGGCGTGAAAAGGTGTTGTTCTGGTTTTCTTTATTACCAGGAGCTTCCGCATCTCAGAAAATACCCGCGACTCTAGGTCTCTGCTTCCCTGATCAGAATGCAATTCGACACTCTAAAACGATATACGAATTGACAACAACACTTTTGCTACTGTTTCCGCCTCCAAGTTCGGAAATGAGTAGGTCTCCGACCACTTGGTAAAGTAATCCATAGCTAATAGCATAACGAGATAGATAGATAGATAGATAGATAGATAGATAGATAGATAGATAGATAGATAGATAGATAGATAGATAGATAGATAGATAGATAGATAGATAGATAGATAGATAGATAGATAGATAGATAGATAGATAGATAGATAGATAGATAGATAGATAGATAGATAGATAGATAGATAGATAGATAGATAGATAGATAGATAGATAGATAGATAGATAGATAGATAGATAGATAGATAGATAGATAGATAGATAGATAGATAGATAGATAGATAGATAGATAGATAGATAGATAGATAGATAGATAGATAGATAGATAGATAGATAGATAGATAGATAGATAGATAGATAGATAGATAGATAGATAGATAGATAGATAGATAGATAGATAGATAGATAGATAGATAGATAGATAGATAGATAGATAGATAGATAGATAGATAGATAGATAGATAGATAGATAGATAGATAGATAGATAGATAGATAGATAGATAGATAGATAGATAGATAGATAGATAGATAGATAGATAGATAGATAGATAGATAGATAGATAGATAGATAGAGAGATAGATAGATAGATAGATAGATGGTTTATTGACTTAAAACTTGCAGCCTCGGCAATAGGCTCCGGCTGAAAAACCTTTAGTCTTACAAAGAATATGATCTATGTTATTAAAATCCATAAAAGTGGAGGTTCAATTGGTAAAACTATCTATTTACATTATTTAGTGACTCAGATATATTATACATATTTACTAGAATTGAAATTGATAAAATCGTTTTTAAATCTAATTGTTTTACAGTTTGGAACTTGAAATATTCTTTTTTCTCTCAGAGATGCCTCAGATAAATTTAATGCTGGTAATAAATGGTGTAATTTGTCTTGCGGATCATTAACAATTTGCTGAAAAAGTTTATCGGTCAAATTTTGTCTTCGATCGTACAATGACAAGAGACCTAGTTGATTAAGTGCGTCCTCATACGAATGTTCGGGGAGGATTATTCTGCAAGCTCGGCGTTGTAATCTTTCGAGATCGTCTGACAGGTATTTTGTAAGGGAATCGTGGAATACTTCGCACGCGTATTCAGCAACCGGCCGAATACAAGTAACATAGAACAAGAGAAGATCCTTGGACGGTAACTTAGCCCGTTTCAATTGTCGCAGGAAGTATAGACGAGTTGAAATCTTCTTGCATACAGTCTCAATATGTTTATTCCATTTGAGGTTGTCGGAGATGGTTAAACCGAGTAGTTTTTCACACTGGACTACTTCGATGTTTTTGTCGTTGATAATAATAGGATCAAACTCTCTCTTTACAGTTGAGAAAAAGAATTTCTATGCATTTGGACTCTTTTAACTGCATACCATCACTTCTGGATTTTGAAGAGAATTCGTTGACATACGCTTGCATTATACTAGGTTGATCTTTATTTATGATTTCAGACATAGTTGAATCGTCTACGTATTTCCATAGGTTCTTGTTGTCAGCAACATCAAGGTCGTCCATCATGATTAAGAAAAGCCAAGGGCCTAATTTTGTCCCCTGGGGGACACCCGCTGGCACAGCCTTCCACTCGGAAAAACAGTCATCACTAAGTTTAACTCTCTGACTGCGATCAGTGAGGAAGTCTAAGATCCAATGCAATATAGGTTTTGGGATGTTGTATTTTAACAGTTTTCGTGCGAGGATATGATGATCTATCATGTCGAAAGCTTTTCGAAAGTCAAAAAGCATAATTCTGATTGTAGAGCCATTTCCGTCCGTGTTTTTATTCCAAAAATGCAACATGCTGATAAGGGCATACGTAGTGCTTGAATTCGGGATGGATCCGAATTGCCTTTTATCAATTGTGGCTGTACCGCAGGTTTTAGGTGTTGTTCAACCACGAATTCTTCGGCCAGTTTTGATAAAATAGGTGTTAATGATATTGGACGTAGGTTGTTATTAATGTCAGTTATAGGTTTCTTTTTAGGGATAGCAATAATGTCGGCCTCTTTCCAAGATTGTGGAATACGGCATTCGCGGTAAGAACTATCTAGGATATCTTTGACTGGAAGTTCCAATAAATCAGCATTCTCTTTTAACACCCATGTTGGTATTCCATCAGGGCCGTGGGCTTTCCTTGGATTAAGCGTTGACAGTTTTTTAAATACATCTCCTGCAGCAATTGTAACAGTAGAATCATTAGCTGCGCCAAATAACAGATCTTGGTAATTCTCTGGAGTGAGAGGAGTAAATTCAGCCATTGGGGAAAGAAAAGAATCATTTATCTCGTTTGCAATATCTACTTTATCTGTTTCCGTAAGGTGTTCATCAGGTCTTAAGGCTTTAAGGATTTCTTCGTTATTTCCGCTAGTAGATTTTGCTCCACTGAGCTTCTTAACCTCATTCCACCAAGAGGATGGTTTACATTCTTTAAGATGTTGAATACTATTTTCATAATGCTTCGCACGACAACTTTTCCTTTTGCGGTTTACTTTATTTCTCAAATACTTGAATTGGGTAATATTTCCTTGGTTAAGAGCTTTCTGGCGTTTCTTAATTAATAATGATAATTTTGAGTTCATCTAGGGAGGTTCATTATATCGAGATGTAATTGAGCGCAGTGGGAGAATATAATCCAGACCAGTAGTTACAATGGTTTCCAAAAGGGAGATTTTTTCTGTGCAAGAAGGGGCTTTGTCAAACATGCTGGGAATGTCCAACAGTTCCAAATATTTACGGAATGCAAGACGGGAGCTCGGACGTAGATCTCTTTTCTTCACCACTCTTTTCTGCGCTCTTTGGGGTTGACATCGTTCTTTTGGTTTAAATTCTACAGACATATGATCAGAGAGACCGAATGGTGCATACTTTACCGGTTGATCGTAGTATTCGTAAAGA